TGCCAGCAGCTGAACCTGTGGCTGTAGCCTGGGTGAAACTGCCCACCCATGGTCCACCTTGGCTGTGGCCTGCCCGGGCGAAGCTGGCCTGGGTCCTGGGTGCCTGTAGCCAGCCAGAGGGAGGGAAGTCTGGGTCCCGGGTGCCTGTGACTGGCCAGAGGAAGTAATCCTGGGTTCCAGGTGCAGGGTGAGGCAGAGGCAGTTAGGGGCGATCAGACAGGTAGGCAGGTGAGTGATTAGGAGTCCCAGATTGTGAGAGGCAATTGGACATCCCCTGAGGGGTCCCAGATTGGAAAGGGTGCAGGCCTTGCTGAGGTAACCCTCTTCCCCCCGCACCCCTCGTGTACGAATTTTGTGCACTGGGCCTCTAGTTGATAAATAAAAGATAAGCCTACGTCATAAGTGACTTGACGGGAAGACTGGAAACCAGTGAAGCACAGAGAAGAGAGAAAAAAAAATGCAAATTTAGGGAATCCAGGAGCTTTCTTTTAAAGATGACAGCTGATCTGATATCTGAAAGATGAGAAGGTGTTAAAAGTCAAAGAATAATAGAGACAGACATAATGAAGAGAATGTCCAATATCCCAGAAATGAAGAACACCAACATGCTTGGGAAATGCAAATATCATCATTGGAAAATGATGCATGTCCTGCCATTATGGCTTAGTGGTTCAGCATCAACCTATGAACCAGGAGGTCATGGTCCAATTCCCAGTCTGGGCTCAGTCCCTGGTGGTGGTGGTGGTGGTGGTGGTGGGTGCTGGAGGAAGCCAATCAGTGATTCTCTCTCATAATTGATGTTTCTATCTCTCTCTCCCTCTCCCTTCCTCTCCGAAATCAATAAAAATATATTTTAAAAAATAAAGTAAAAATAAATAAATATGGGCATGGTTTTCCCTTCCTCTCTGAAATCAATAAAAATACATTTTTTAAAAAGAAAAATGATGCAGCATGAAGCTGGAAAATGTCATACTCCAAATCATGAGTGACTGTTTAAGCCACATGAAGAAGTTTGGGGTTTTTATAAAGGAAATGGGGAATATAATATGATTTTTCAGAAGGGTAGTGGCTTGTTGAGACACATTTTAGATAGATCATGTTGAAAGCTTTTTGGGAATGGGTTATAATGAAACATGAATGGCTGATGCAGCATGAAGCTGGAAAATGTCATACTCCAAATCATGAGTGACTGTTTAAGCCACATGAAGAAGTTTGGGGTTTTTATAAAGGAAATGGGGAATATAATATGATTTTTCAGAAGGGTAGTGGCTTGTTGAGACACATTTTAGATAGATCATGTTGAAAGCTTTTTGGGAATGGGTTATAATGAAACATGAATGGCATCAGGTCTTTTAAGGGCTGGATATAAATGAGGGTTAAATAGAAAAAAGTGCATTACTAGTGGACAATATGAGATATATTCAAGATGCATTCAGTTAAAAGAATATACATTCCATGTATGTATATATGTGTGTATGTATGCATGTATGTAGTGGATGCTAGAAGTGAGAAGGAGAGAGTACCTATAATGACTTCCAGGTTTTTTACAAAGCTTGCTTGATACATAGTCTTCCCATTCACCAATTCTGACAACACACAAGTAGAACCAATGTTATGATAAAGAGATGATAAGCTTGATTTTGGCCACTTTGAGTTTAAAGCATGCATAAGACATTCAACTGGAGATATGCCATGGTTTTTGAGGAATCTTGAGTTTCAGACAGGGAGATAAACTACACACAAATGTTTGAGAGGAATCATAATTTCTTTGGTAACCAAAGCCACTGGAAGGTGAGATATCATTTATGGAGTATACAGAATGAGAATAGACAGAAAATGGTTCAGAATTGAGCCCTATAGCAACTCTAACACTTAAGGGGTATATAAAAGAAGAAGATAAATTCATTTTAACAGAAATAAAGATACCACTATGGCCATTGTGCTTAGTGGTTAGATTATCAGCCTGCACATTGAAGGGTCACGAGTTCTATTCAGGTCAAGGGCACATACCTGGGTTGTAGACTCCATACTCCTGGTCGGAGCACAAGTGGGAGGCAACCAATCGATATGTCTCTTATCTCTCTCTCTCTCTCTCTCTCTCTCTCTCTCTCTCTCTCTCTGTCTTCCTTCTTCCTTTCCACTCTTTCTAAAAGTCAATGGAAAAAAATATCCTCAGGTAAAGATTCACTAAAAAAAATTTTTATTTCCTGCCTCAGTCTTATTCTTTTTCCTTCCTTCCTTCCTTCCTTCCTTCCTTCCTTCCTTCCTTCCTTCCTTCCTTCCTTCCTTCCTTCCTTCCTTCCTTCCCATAGACAGCCAATATCATGATTTGTCCATGTATACTAGTTTTTTATTACATGTGTAATTTTTTATTAGTTTCTCAATTTACAGAAATGGTATCAAACAATTTATCTTTCTTAAATTTTTATTCTTGCACATCATTGTTTTTATCATTTATTTTTGTTAATACAGACAGACCTAGTGCATTAATTTTAATTGTACAAGTATTTGACAACCTAATTATCCATTGTCCTATCAATGGTTTTTAGTCTTTCACTAACACCAACAAAACTGCAATAAATACCTTGGTACCATTGCCTTCCTCTTCTTTTGCATATAAGCAAGAATGGTTTCACTGAGGTACATAATTAGAAGTGGAATTCCTAGTGGGTGGGCAATTTATTTTTTGTTTGTTTGATTGATCTGTTCATTTATTTTGTGTGTTTTTAGATTTCACATATAAGTGAAATCATATGGTATTTGTCTTTAAATGTACTAGCTACTATTTTTTCTTCAAATGGTCATTACAAATTTATAGTCCCAGCAACATCATTTGACAGTTATCAGTTTCTAACACCTTTCAAAAATTGAAGTTCACTTTTAATGTTAGCTAATCAAATGAGCATGAAAGTTTCTTAGTTGTATTTTTTACTTCACATAAAAAATTGATAATTTTATATACTCAATGATTTTTATTTTCTATTTCAAATATTATAATTTATGTTGCTTGTTTTTTATTCATATTTGTTCTTTAAATACTAATCATTTTGTTATATATATTGCAAATAACTTCTCTCAGTGTGTGGTCATCTTTAACCTTTTTAATGGTATCTTTTGGGGGGATGATCTTGTTATAAGAACATATTTATTATTCCAAATATACAAATAAATATATGTTGTACATTTTAATTTATTTTTTAAATTGTATTTTCCTATATGGTTTTTTAAAAATATATTTTTATTGATTTCAGAGAGGAAGGGAAAGTGAAAGAAACATCATTGATGAGAGACAATCATCGGTCAGCTGGTCAAGCCTGCAACCTAGGCATGTGCCCTTGACCAGAATCTAATCCGGGGTCCTTTAGTCTGCAGGCCAATGCTCTATCCCCTGAGCCAAACCAGCTAGGGCTCTTATATGTTTTTTAATCTCTCTAGAAATTATTCTTTGCATGAGGGATGATGATTTTTTTTCCCCAGTGTGGAAAATCAGGTGTTTTCCACCAAGTTCACAAATGTGTCGGGTTCTGATCCTGGGCTTTCTGCTCTGTTTTATTTATATGTTTTGTCTATACTTATATTGGTTTCACACTGTCTTAATTGTTGTAATTATATAATAATTCTGTATATATGCTGTGAGAAATCTCTCATCTTTGTTACTCTCTCACCTTAGAAATATCTTTTATGTCCTTCATATTATGAGTTATGTCACTTTCTCAAGGACTGCAAAGTGGTTTGTCCCTTAAACACACAAGATATTGCCAAGGCCTTTAATAGAGAAGTTAAAATAAACTAATCTCTTTGATAGATAAAACATAACATTATAATACAGCATCAAAGGTATATCTGGCTCAGAACCACAAACCTTGCTCACATAGTGTTAATAAAGATATCCAATCTCAAGGAGAAGCTTACTATAATCCTGTTTGATACTATTTCCCTATTTTACAGATTATTTTGAATCAACTCAAGTCATCTGTAGTCAGTAGTGGAATTGCTTATCTGCTACCTTTTAAAGCTTCTAAAGTTATTGAACATATATTACTCTATTTGTAAAATCCCAACAGATGATTCACTGCTTAGCTGCTGGAATTTCAGCATTGTTATTCTGAAAGCCTTTGTGCCCACTTTTTGAAAACCTCACTGTTTCATCTTTACTTTCCTGGGGCCAATCACTTATCTACAAAGCATCATATTTGTCACTGAGAAGTAGAATTATAAAACTACTGTGTGTAGTTCAGCATAATGGAATAGGTGCAGAGCCTCTCAAAAACACTTTTCAAGAAGTGAGACTATTACATTTCGGTGGAGACAAAGAAATTTATTGCATTTTAGGCAAACCTGGTAGAATCTACAATATTGATCAAATGTCATTGGTGGATGCATACAAATGTAACATACTACACACTACATCTCTTTCTTTTGCAGTAGTTCTGACCAAAAGCATTAGGAACACACTCTGTATTTTCTATATTTTACCTGAAAATATAGCCTGAATAATTTGTAAAATTTGTCTAATTTATTTTGAGTTCTAAGAGATCAACACATAAATATCTCACCATAAAATACTATGTTTCAACATCCATTAGTTTGTTAATGCATCTGAGAAATAGTATTCTAACAAAATGATGACAGCAATGGTTTTAAGAAAAGCAATAGGGTGAGAACAGGGAGAGAGTGGAAGAGGATGTCAGATCTTTTAAGAAATATAAACAATAAATCACTTCAGAATTCTGGACCCAACTCTCAGAGTCCTATATCCATATGGAGATAGAATAACCATCTATTTCAAACTTCTGGATGGTCCTCTCTTTACCTGAAATAATGGGCTCAAGAGCAATACAGGCATAAAGCAAATAACATAAAACATACCTACCAAAAAAGATGTAGTTTGTGGAGAGGAGCAGGGTGTATAATATACTATATAAAAGAAAAATTTACTGTAAGACGCCTTTAAATAAATCCTCTAGTCAAACAGTGCTTCTAGAAAAGGGGTACATGACTACCCGGTTTGTAGTGGTCTGAGAGGAATTAGTAAAGATGAAGATTACTGAGTCCCTCCCCAGACTAGCTCCCCAGGTCATTTTGATTCATATTTAAATTTTAGAATCACATTTAAATTAGAGAACTGAATTTAAATAAACTAATATTGCAAGAAAAAATGGTTTACAGAGATACTTCATGGAGCCTTTTTTTTCCCAAAAGAAGACCATCTGTACAATCTTGAGAAAAACCTGGACTTCAATGTGGAATAAATTGTACCCATCAAAAAGAAAGGGCCAGCCTTGATTCTTGCCCTGCCCATATCCCTCCAAAGTATATAATTAGATCTGTTTGTATAATTGATATTCCCTATAAAGGTAGCTTTGGGAATTTTTTTAAAGATTTACCTTGTGATCCTGTTAGATCTACTAGAGTTATAATAATCTCATAAATCGTACTAGAGAATTATTGTCAACCCAGCCCCAAATAAAGGAGTGTTAACAGGGAAATGCAACATATGCACATAACCTCTGAAATCAGAGAGGTCAGGATACAATAAAAACATTGTTGTATTAATCCTGTTTTGTATAAAATGAATCTAGATTTCATTTAATTTTCAACGCCCATATATGCTGTTAATATTGTGCTTTTATTTTCAAAATAGAATCACAGGCTAAAAATAGAGTTATATTATAGCATGCAGCCACTATTTGATTTGGTGTTTGAGCACATGTATGTGTGCATGTGGTGGGGAGGTTGTGATGGGAAGTTGTGCTATCTTTATATAGATAGTGAATTATGGATTTCCAGATGCTTGGTGTGTATCATGAATGTTCCAGTAAGCTGTTGGTTTTAGGGAATGGCTGCTAGCTCTCATAGGATTCTTTATATTTCATCTAATTAGAGTATTTGCAAGGTGAGTATGAATTAGAGGCATAGTCCATGTCCTCTCTCAATCATTAGCAACTTGAGTGAGAATAGAGGTGGGTTTACTTTGAAACATATGAAATTTAAGCTTCAGGGCTTCATACTTGTTCTAGACTCAGTTTGCTCTGGGATTGCTGGCTTTTGTGGAATGTTAAGCATTGGAAGAGGAATTCAAGTTGCTATCAAGGAATATTTCCATGTAAGCATTTCTGGTAAATAGCCTAAAGGGATTTCCAAATTTTTTTTAATATATTTTATTGATTTTTTACAGAGAGGAAGGGAGATGGATAGAGAGTTAGAAACATTATAAGAGAGAAACATTGATCAGCTGCCTTCTGCACATCCCCTACTGGGGATGTGCCCGCAACCAAGGTACATGCCCTTGACTGGAATCGAACATAGGACCCTTCAGTCCACAGGCCAAAGTTCTATCCACTGAGCCAAACAGGTCATGGCGGTATTTCCAAATTTTAAGCTTCAGTAATTTTCTTATCCTATATAATAAAGAGGTAATATGCAAATTAACCCTCACACCCTCACAAGACGGCTGCCTATGGCCAGGCTGGCAGGGGAGTTAGTGAGGGATGACCAAACAACTGAACAAGCAGGCTGCAACCTGCTGGCAAGTGGCAACCAGGCTGGCAAGGGTGCCATGAGGTGCAACCAGGCCAGCAGGGGGGCAGTTGGAGGCAACCAGGCTGGCCAGGGGGCAGTGAAAGGCGATTGAGGGGTGATCAGGCCAGCAGATGGGGGGGCAGTTAGGTGCAACCAGGCAGGCAGGCAGGTGAGTGACTAGGGGCCAGCAGTCCAGGATTGTGAGAGGGATGTCTGACTGCCTATTTAGGCCTGATCACCCAAGGGGTACTAGATTGGAGAGGGTGCAGGCTGGGTTGAAGGGGACCTCCCACCCTCATGCATGAATTTTGTGCAGCGGGCCTCTAGTTCTTAATAAATAGCCATGTTCATACTTAATTTTCCATTGTGTTCTTGTTTACCCCCCTAAAAGCATCTACTGATTATATAAAATTCAGACTCCATAAAACCTGCATTTTCCTTTAAAAAACAAGTTGTAGCATAAAGAATTAATTTAAAAGACCAAGGTTTAAATACAAAACCTACCAGTTACAAGCTTTGTGGTTTTGTGCACATATGAAAAGTCTTGAGACCTCAGTTCCTTGTCTTTAAAATAGGAATAATAATGTCACTCAAAGGATTGTCTAGAAGAGTCTATGAAGTATGTGTGTATACAGTGCACAATATGTGTACATTAGGGAGGCCAATGTGGCTGTGATGGTCACAGAATTCCCACAAAGGAAGGTTCTGGTCACATTGTAGCAATTTAATGGGAAGGACATGACCAACACAAGGGAATTTTCCACAACTTTACAAATGCATGTCACAAATGACTGGGATCCTGGAGTGCAGAGCCATGTCTGTTATGTTCAATACAGATCCCTAGCACCTAGCATATGGGTAGCACATGTAGTAGGTGTTTAATAAATAATACCAAATGGTTATAAATGGTTATAAGGAGAAGCTTCTATTACATATATTCTGATGTACTGGATATTGATATACAGAGATAAGCTATCAGAGAAACACTTGGACAGATTAGCATCACCACCATTGGTCAGCAGTTATTCATAAAGAATACGTATTTTTTGAATATGCATTTTACTACACTTCTATGGAAACAATGTAAAAATTTAAGTAATTTTTGAAAAAATGTCAGAAATTTTATTCTGGATACCAAAAGCTTAAATAAACAGATATAGCAGATCAAACTTAAATGCTTGGTAATTGCTAACATATGCTCTATTAATGTTTTCCATGAAACTAAAACCTTTGGGAAAGCAGGTCTTATCAAATTTTGTTTTTTTACTTATTTTTATCTTTCTTGCTATTGTTTCCCACCCCCTGATATAATATGTGCTTAATGAATGGCTTTGATTTGTTGTTCTCTTAAACCCTTAGTTTGTTAATAGCAATTGACTTTTAGTATCTGAGAAGTAGGGGCAAGAAAGAAACCAACATTGATAAAACACACACACTTTGATAGGCACTTTGCAGCTACACAGTTGTTAATCTTCAGCAGTCTTGTGAGGTGGTTTTTACAAAAGGTTCCATATTTTCCTGCTATAGGAGGGTTGAAGCAAAAATAAGACAGTATGTTTAATTAAAGTGAGAAATTGTCTACTGATATTAGATATGGAGATTGTGTGTGTGTGTGTGTGTGTGTGTGTGTGTGTGTGAATCAGTGTGCATGTGTATCTGTGCACACCTATATTTATATGTGTGCTGAATTAAATGGGTCTTTGGCCTCAATCTGATGGGTCTCAAATGCCATAGATTATGTGGTGCACAAAGAGAAAGTGATGTTCAAATGTATTAGAAAAACTTCAGAGGCAACAATGAAATGTTTTCATGATTGAATGTCTATCATTAATTGTCCAAAAACAACAATTTTGTTATTAGAATCCTAAAGTAAAACATGTGAATTGCATGAGGACACCATAAACTTATTACTTTGCAATTGGCAACACTCAAACACTGCCTTCTTGCTTGTTTTATTTACTCTTTTTAATTTCTACCCAGCTACACCTATGAACACTTATCTGTATTATTGCACCAGTAATCTGTTGACCTGTTTTTCAACTGATCATAAAACAGCCACTAAATATATTTTTGCTTTCCCCTGGACAAACAGATGAATTTGTATAGATATCTCCAACCATCAACAATGCTACATATTCTGGTCTTGAAAGTTTCACTTTAGGATTTATCTATTCTGGGTTTTCTAGAATAGTTGGTGGATCAGAAATGCAACCTAGAAGACCACTCAGTTCTATTTTCTCCACTTAAATTGACCTCAGATAAAAGCATTTTATGTATACTGAAACAGACTTGGTATTAATTTAGTGTCCACCACCATCGTATTTTTTAAAATATAGTTTTCTTAATTTCAGAGAGGAAGGGAGAGGGAGAGAGCGATAGAAACATCAATGATGAGAGAGAATCATTGATGGGCTGCCTTCTGCACGCCCCACACTAGAGATCAAGCCCCCAACACAGGCAAGTGCCCTGACCTGGAATGGAACCATGACTTCCTGGTTCATAGGTCAATGCTCAACCACTGAGCCATGCCCACTGGGCCACCATGGATTTCTAAATAATTGATGGCTTTTCCTCAATCTATATTTTAAACATCATCTCTTCTGCTCCCAGCTTAGTAGGGAGTATTCAACCTAGTTGAAATTAAGCTAAGAACACTGCTCATCACTGTGGGCCCCTAAAAGAAAGGCCTCCAGAGCGAGGGCTTTTTCTGAGATAAGAGAAGGCAACAATGAAGGCAAATCAAAGTGGGAGGTGAGAGTGCTGAACATGAAAAGACTAATGCAGTGAGACTCTAAGAACTTGAGACTGAGAAAGTGGAAAGATATGAAGTACAGGGCAGGTCAATGGATTTTAACTATAAGTTGAGAGCCAGAGATGAAACCCCATATCTCCACAACTCAGACATCAGCAGACAATACTCAATTCCTCTAGCCCTTATACATTTTGATACCTATGATCACTAGCTCAGTCTACATTGAGTCTCCTTTCTTAATATCCTTGCAATTTGTGAACCCTTTCATTCTTCATACCCCAACTCAAATGCTACTTGTTCTCCAAAGATTTCCCTGATGTTACCATGCAGTGATTCATTGTCTGCTCTGTGATTTCTGAACATTTCATTTAAAGCTATTTTAACTAAGGTGTCAGCTGGCTATACATTGTGAACTGTTTCAGATACGCCTATGACCACAGATAGCACTGGAAAAAGCTGCTCCCTCAATCCTTCTTTTGAGTTTCACCACTACTACTTTCATAAACACCCAAGCTTGAGCCTTTTTATTCCTATATCCCCAGCCCTAGGTTTTTTACCAACTTGGTTTTTAATTTTGACCCTTCATCCTTCATATTTTGACATACAAAAATTTAGTAAACCTGTGTGATACTGATTTCTTTGA